AAGCGTTCCCACCCACTCACCAGGACTGGGCTAGGGCTGGATCTGGGGGTCCCGAGAACCCAGCAGAAATTCTCATTCTCTTGGCAGGCATGGAGGGAGCTGTGCAGTGTGTGTGTGGGGGGTGTCCCAAGGGTGTGAAAGAGCCCTAAGGGTGTGGAAGAGCAATGATTTTTTTTAAAAAAAATTTTGTTCCATTATTAACCAAATGCTTACAAACTTATGTACATTTAAAGATGAAATTTAGGTCATAAGATAAGTTACAATTCTGTTTTATTTTCCTACAAAAGTCAAGTCTACTAAAAGGTAGCCTAATAGTAGATATTTATATATGCTCATGTGTTCAGCTTATCAGCTTAGTGAGGTGGTATCTTAGAGGTCAACTTCAAGACTTAAAAAGTCTAGTGTGCAAAGAATCTTGTGCATAGCAGACTTTTGGTTCAAAAAATTGAGTTCATTTTATTATTTGAAGGATACTTGCAGCTGGGGATGAAGATTATTCAAGGGAAACAGAGGACTCTGATAGACAAATTACAGGGACTTTCAAATGGCTTAAAAATGTTACAAAAATGAAAGACCTCTTCAATTTTTCTTGAGGGGATCTCACACATATGTGACATGTCACAGTGCGTAGAAGTTTCCAGGTCATATATTTCATCTCAGTTTTAAAAGATGATTTCTTTTTAAAAGTTATTCAGAGGTAGAATCTGCTGCCTAGTGAGGCAACGGATTGTCCTATGGACAAGAGTGCAATCCAAACTGTGCAGGCCTGCGTTTAGGATATTGCCAAGGTCACTCAGGCTTTTTCCATCAGAATGAGTTGGCTAGATCTATATTTTCCTTTCCTTGGCTGTCCATGAAAACAGTGTAACACATACACATCGTTCATCGACATCCATACCGGAGTGTACCATAGCTCTGGTATTTTTCTTTGTAGTGCCAAAATGCACTGACCAATAGGGTGAAGGGAATTCAATTAGCAAGTCAGCTTCTAGAAATTGATCCCACTTGCAGTATTTCAGCCTTAGATTCAAGCCTGGGCGTGGGGAACCTAACTGTGCTAAGGTTGTCCATTGCCCTCTTGCTCCTACTCAGTAGCTAATCTATGCACATGGTTAATGAGTCAGCAGTGTTTATGGCAACGGGTGAAGCAGCGCTTGAGGATACCTTAAGAGCAGTTCATGTTGCTACTGGAGTCAGGCAGCTCTGGGTTTGATTTTCAGGATAACCACTTGCTATTTAACTCTAGTGACCTCTGCTCTATTATTTACAAAATAGAAATAAGAGCGAATCCTCCCACACAATGCTACCTGCAGGGTAAATGAAATAAAGTATGGGAAGAGTTTGGCACAGTAGCCATACTGGGGATGAGGTAAATATCCACTAGTGTTACTCGATGTAATTGCAAATGGTTGTCATTTTTACAAGTCCCCTTGGCTAGATCCTGAAGTCCTATGCTTTATCTGTTGCAGACATCGATGAATGTGCCTTAAGAACCCACACCTGTTGGAATGATTCTGCATGCATCAACTTGGCAGGGGGCTTTGACTGCCTCTGTCCCTCGGGGCCTTCCTGTTCTGGCGACTGTCCCCACGAAGGAGGACTGAAGCGCAATGGGCAGGTGTGGACCCTGAAAGAAGACAGGTGCTCTGTCTGTTCCTGCAAGGTGAGGCTGGTGTGACGCAGGAAAATCCATTAACAACTCTTTCTCTCCCTCCTTGACCTTTCTGCTTCCTACTTCTTGCCCCTGTGTGGTTGACTCTTGTGTCCTCATCGTCCCTGAAAATCTCCTCCGGTTCTGATCTACACTATAGCTAGTGATGGTGCTGTGTGACACAAGACATGCTGTAATCCATTGGTGAAAAGTGAGGTATGGGGTTGATCAACGACAGCAGCAAGGGAAAGCAGGGAAGAGAAAGCAGTGCAGTTCTGCCCACCAGTAACCTCAAGGGCCTTTAGGTATGGCTGGAGAGCAGCCTTAATAAGCACTCACCCTGCACTCATATAAACTTTCACATTAAAATTATGCTTTGCCTAAAATGATCACCTGCATGCACTTGCTAAGTTTTGGTGGTATTGTCCAGAATGGTAAAGCTCACAATCTGGCTTCCAGTGGCCAGACAGGAGGGCTTCTTCTCCAAGCTAATGACAGTGACAGTATGCAGTCTCCTTATCATTGCTTTCTTCTTTAATATTTTCCGTCCTGGGCCATTTTTTACATGAAAATGCTTGCAAGTGAGTTTAATGCTTATGAAAATAAAATTCTGTCACCATGTGGTTTTATTTTATGCTTTGTGAAATGGGTCTATTAAAACATTAGATTTCCTTATGCTTTAGTGCTTCTTTTGTTGATCTTTCCCATTTACTTTTCTTTGTTATTACTTTACTGTAGCTCTTGCCTTGAATTTCTGTGTCCGTTGGGAAGAGCTTATTTAATCAAGGACTTTATGGACATGAAAACCAAAAGAAATTATTTGCTTACAAGCCTGTTAGAGACGCAGGTCTCCCGATAATTTTTCAGTGTGTTCTGTAACAACAGTGCTGGAATAAGCCTTAAACATCATAAAATTAATCTGTTCAGACTTCACCACTGCCATGCCCCAAGAGACCAGTGGGGACGCATTTAGGACAGCTACACTGTACCACATCTATTGCATAACACCTGCATTTTTCCCATATCAAGTTCTAAGCACTCAAATTGGGGTTTATTTCTTCAATTTATTGAGCACCTGCTGTTTCAGGCACCCTCTAATTTAGTTTTTTATGTATTTGGTACAGGGTCTCACTATGCAGCTTGGACTCATAGTGATCCTCCTGTTTGCAGCCTCCCAAGCTCTGGGATTACAGGTGTGCACCCCTAAGCCCACCCTCTGTGGCCAGATCAGTACACCTGGGGGAGTGGGTAGGGCTAGCACAGCATGTGGTGCCAGGGATCAAAACCTGGTCTCTGTGCTTGCCTAAGTAGGCACTAAGTCTGCTGAGCTATCTTGCCAGACCTGCACCTTCTAATTTGAAAAGTATACTATATTCATTCTTACAGCCAACTTTATAAAATAAAAAAAGCTCAGTCTGTAAGGGGAAATCAATTTGCCCAAATCATTGAGCATACAAGTATCTATGTGCACCCAGGACATTTGCGCTGCATACAAGGACTTTGAGTTCATTTGTTGCAAAAGTCATAGTTTTCCATATGGCCACATGTCCTGAAAACTCTACAGCTGGTGGGGTTTGGATACCTCTTGGTGCCCTTAGACTCAGTTGGGTAATTTGTCAATCTGTTTTATTGATTGACCTAGGTCAAGCTCTCTAGTATGTTAATTCTGGGGAAGCAATTCTTTAAAAATTTTACTATTATTTATTATAATATTCAATCATTCAGCATTGACTCAAAGGACAGAATTTTCTTTTTTCTTTTCTTTTTTTTTTTTTTTTTTTTTTTGGAGGAACCAGGGACTGAACTCAGGCCCTTGCACTGGCCAGGCAAGTGCTTATTCTCTTGAGCTATCTTCCTGGTCCTTAAGGACAGAATTTTCTAAGAGAAAGAAAATCTGGCCACCATGCTGTGCTTTGTCGTGAGATTCGGCTTCTGTAGCCCCAGAGACAGCAGAAGGAATGGCAAGGAGCAGCAGGATGAGCAGCAGAGGGATGACGGGACTGTTGGGACAAGGCCATGAGATTGGGGGATTAGGTGGGATCGCTTGGTGTGGTAGGGCTAGGGGCCAGTATGCTGGTCATCGACATAATCAATCACTGGATCTGGTGAATCATCTGGTGGCTGATGTGAGGGAGAAGGAAGAGATCCAGAAGGAGCAGATCTGGGAGCAGATGGCCCCCAAGCTGGAGTCTGAGCTGACCACAAAATCATCCTCCAGCAGACCTTAGAAAGTGTATAGTAGCCGGAGAAGCTGCAGTCCAAACTGAACTTCAAGGAGCCAGCTCCTGAGTCCCCACATGTGCCCGAGGCTGCAGCTGGCTCTGTAGTGCAAGTGGCTCCACCCCTGCAGTGCAAAGAGCTACCAACTTGTTCTGCTCCGTTCCTACCAGTTTATTCTGCAGTCTGCCTGCATCATCTCACTTGGAGAACTTCAGATCAGCAGAGCTGGAGTTAAGACATGTCCCAAGGACAACGTCACGTGGTCCATTCCAGTGACAGATCCCTGACAAGGGGCAGGTCACTAGAGGCTGAAATACAAGTCAGGCAAGTGCCCAGGCCAGTGAGCCTCTGCTGTGGCTATGGTCTGAGGGCTTCAGTGACTTGGGCAACTTAGCTGAAAGTGGCAAACAGTGAAGGCAGTTTGAAATGTGCTGCCCTTTTTCTCCAGAAATTCAAAAGGTTCTGTTTTCCATTTCTATGAGCATCTTAGGCAGCTTCACTTGACAATGACCATCCCTAGGAAGAAGCCACGTGTTTCTTAAGCAAAAGCACCTTCTTTTTTCTCCCCTGCCTCTGCAAAGGAGTCACAGAGAGAAGAGATTATCAGCTTTCTGCTGTTTAATAGGGCATAATGCATGGCTTTGTGCACAGCCCAGCTTGCAGTTACAGTTTTCGGAGGACCATCTACAAAGGTCTGTGTCATTAGTGTGGTGGAGGATCAGCTTGGATTTTTTTTTTTTTTTTTTTCAGAACCGGGGATCGAACTCAGGCCCTCGCACTTGCCAGGGAAGTGCTTATTCCACTGAGACATCTCCCCGGCCCCATCAGCTTGGATTTTGAACAGTCCTTTGACAACATCTTTTTATTAATTTTGTGGAGAACTTTCTGGTGAACAGAAAAGCCACAACCTATTGTGGATGAGATATGGAGGAGGAAAAGGTTTTGATCAAATGGGGGGGAGAGGGGTGCAGGTGAGAAGTTTGTTTCTGGTCAGACTCTGAAGTAGTGAAAACCTCTAATTTATTTTTTGTTTGTTTTTTTCACCTCCACTTTCTGACACCTGATCCCAATGTGTATCTCCAGGATTTGTTTTTCGATTTTCCTTTTTTAATTTTTAAAAAAATTTTATTAGTACATGCTTGCTGTACATAATTTTTACATCATTATGTAATAAATTCCCTACTCATTATGGGAATTTAATACTAGTGTAAGAATTCTATTTAACTTTCCAATGTAGCTTGGAGCTTCAGTTAACATTGTGTTTATTTTTCTAAAAAAAAAGAAATGAAGGAAACCTCATTGTGGGCTAGAATAGTGGGGGAGGAGGTTTCGTGTTCAGCCCACAAAATAGGCGTGTATTCTTCGCTATTTTTTTTTTTTTTTGAGAAAGTATTGTTTGTCCAAACTTTTGAGAATGATCACAGCCTGAATCCATATCATTTTTAACTTTTCTAGGTCACCAGCCCCTCCAATAGGCAAGCACTTTAGTGGAGTGTGTACTTCTCTGAGACTAACCTTCTTTTGTTTAAATCCATGATAAAGCAGAGAACTTATCAATTACCAAAATCCCCACGGTGTTTGACTTTGTTAATAAGTCATGGTTATTGACTTTGTTAATAAGCCAAGCATTCTGAGTTATTGTTTTGACTCCTAAAGTCTTATGAAAATGAGACTGAAATTGTCACAGGAGGTGAATCAACCATTCTTACAATCTTATTTCATTATGAAGATGTGGCTCCACCCCTTTCTCTCTCTCTCTCTCTCTCTCTCTCTCTCTCTCTCTCTTTAGGGAAGGGTCTACAGGGTGTTCAGGGTCTCACTACTAGATCAGACTTGTAGTGATCCACCTGTTTACAGCCTCCCGAGAGCTGGGATTACAGGCGTGCACCACCATGTCCAGTCTCAATTCCCATCTCAGCATGACCTGGGGGCAGGGCCAGCACAACAGGCCAGGGGATAGAGCCCTGGGCCCTGTGCTTCCTTGCAGGTACTTTAATCCACTGAGCTATTTGGCTGGCCCTCCACCTCTTTCTTTTCTGAAAGAAAGATCTATCTTTACATACATCTTTTGGCCAAAGTTTTGATTTTTCAATTGCATTCATTGCTAATTTATAGCACCATTTTCCAGAGGTTGTGGGGATGAAGAACACTTTGTTTAAGTCCTGAAGTAAGGGCTCTTCATCAGTTCTGGAAATCATTCTCATAAAATAATTTGTGATCTCCTTGTTTATTTTTTGTCATTTGCAGTTGAAAGTGTCCTATTCCACGTTCATAAGAAATATTGTCAGCACGTAAGCATCCAAGTGGATGGTTATACTGACATCATCTTAGAGGCTATAAAATCAAGGTATGAGTTACTTTCAGTCAGTCATACCCTTAATGTTTTAATTTCACATGAAACCAAATATACACGAGCAGAATCACACAAGGCAATAAAAGATCAAGAGCCAACATTGAGAGAAACAGTCCAAGTTGTTTTGAAAGGCCAGTTTCTCCTCACGAATCAGTAAACCAGTTCTTCTGGCAGTCTGATGTCAGAAGAAAGACAGGGTTACATGCATGTGCAAAATGCAGGGAGCTCAGTACGCAGCTGGGTCCGTGTGGGTAGATTTGCACCTTTCTTTTCAGTCTAAGCCTTTCTTGGTGATCAAAAGGCTTTGTTGACCACTGCTGATTAGGCAAAGAATGATTGTTAGACTATACAGAACCCATGTTTTTTCTATGTTATAGAAACACAGTTATGGAAAAGTTATCAGTCTGCTCTTGGCTTTTAAATCTTGGCTGCATCCCCA